GAGAGAGAGAGAGAGCGTACGTATGGTCACTTTGACTGTAGAGTTAAGTCCAGCTGTTTTTCATCTCCATTGAAGGTTGATTTAACATTTGCACACATGCGCAAACGTGCGCACTCAAAAAACCCCTTCCAATTCTCAAAGCGATGTCCTCGCCTATCTCCTCAGCCAACACTTCACCCTCAGGTGATGCACGCGCTGGCTGAGCGTGCGATAAAGAAAAGTGCATCTCGACGGGGAAACGCGGCTTAGCAGGACACTCACAGACCTGCACGTGGCATCCATCTGCGGGATCACTGCGAACACTGACTTATCGTTTACGAAGGGTGGGGACAGAGGGGCATCTGGACCTGTGCGCACGCACGGAAACACACGCGCGCTGTCATCGCTCGTACACATGTACACGTGCCTCATCAGGGACAGATGTGGATCGCGCGCTTATCACACGCAAAGACAATATTGCTGTCACGATTCATTTCATTGAAACAGAAAAATAAAGTTAAATGAGACTCACCAGCTTTGCACGGGTCCTTGTAGTCAATAGTGTCCGTCTTCTCTTCTTCATAATATTCAAAATCTGCCTCCTCGTAGTCGAAACAGTTAGAAATACTAACTTTGCTCCAAAAAGTCAAGCCCGCAAGCACCAGCGTGATCCAGCGCATCTTAGCGACCAGTGCTGAGGACACTCGGTCCATCTGAGGACTAAAATAAACCCAAAAAAAAGCTTCTACGCTCGTCTCTTTTCCTGAAAGGAGAACGTCCTCTTTCTAAAGGAAGTATACGGTTGAAGGGATCTATCGGCTCATCGTGGAGATCTCTGTCCTCATGGACAGTCTGGAAGTGGACAGCCGCTGAGGTCTGCGCTCAGTTACTCTGTCCGGCTCTCCTCCATGGTGTGAGCGTGCCGAGGGACCCGTGTCCGTCTGCTGTGTGTCAGTCAGCAGAGTGCCCGCTGAGGAGCTCCGCTGTCTTCCTCTGGGGCCTCGCAGGTGAGACTGTTGTGGCACAAACGAGAGAGAGTGGTGGGGGTGATCAGTACCAGGAGCGTAAAGACGCAAAGGCTGTGTCTCTGCTGCGCGCAAAAAGAAATATCACCCGTGCGCATTCCCAGCCAGCACTGATGCCTCTCCCCCTCTGTTGTGTCCGGTAGCCTGCTGTCTCTCTCAGCACAAACCAGCGCACCGCCCTCACACACACTGACACCAACACACACACACGTGCACGCACGCGCGCGCTCACATCTCCCGAGGACTCAAAACTATCTTTGTGTTCCTCTGTCCTCGGTCTATGTGTGCCCCCTCAAATAAATGCCAGATGCGTGTCTGATCTCAGCACAGTGCCAGCAGAGGAAGCGCGCTGATAATTACGGGTCATTGGACGGTAGTTCGCATTGATCCGTAAAAATAAAGACAACTTGGATGAATGCAGCCGGTAGCGGTAAAAGTAACAGGGCGGCCACAAATCTGCCTGTGGGTTTCCATGGCTGTTATCTGGTTATTTAGAGGTAAGTGCCAAGTAGCTGATAGCTGTGGTATTACCTAAACCATAAACGCCAAAAGGGCTGGAGGAGTCCCTGTAACCATGGCGAAACAATCCATTCATTTGTGTGCTCCTCTTTCACTTCGTTATCAGGTGAAGAAAGGAAGACATTTACATCTTATGCATTCAATACAACCTACTGGTGCGCATAGAGTGGGCAGTGATGATATTAAAAAAAACGAGAGAGACTGTGATTTTTGGTGTGAGGGCTTCCCAGAGTGGTAAGTGGCATCCAAATAAGTAACATAGAGGAGTATTTGAACACATCACCAGTACACTCCTGCATGTGTGAATAGATAGATAGATAGATAGATAGATAGATAGATAGATAGATAGATA